AATTTGCCTTGGCTTTTTACAAATTTGGTAAAAATCAGCGTTGGTTGACCGTGATTTTCTACCATACCACTTAACCAAATTATTGCTCGTCGTACTCTGTTCTGCTATCACTTTAAATATTTCCCTCAACTTACTTTTTGGAACTTTTTTTCCCCCCACCATCCAGAGGAGAGAGGGGCGCGCCCCCTTGCTGGATCCACGAGTACTGGCCACAATAATAATTTTTTTTATATCACATTAGAAAATTCGTCTTAGAGAATGATTGTTTCATGTATTTCTCTTTTCATTAAATCGGTGTTTTTTGAAACTTTTTCCAACATCCAAGGGAGCGCGCGCGCCCTGACAGAATTTGCTAGTGCTGGTCACGATAATGATTTTTTTTTTATATCACATTAGGAAATTCGTCTATAAGGATGAATTTTTCCTATTGCTTCCTCACTACCGAAGGTAGGGAAGCATTGTATTCGTGGGAGAGGTTAATAAAAATTTTGTGCTCGGAATCGAAAATTTCTACTCGCGTTTTATACTTTTCATACATCAAGGATCAAATTTGGTTCGGCGCCTGTAGTCAAATTGATGTGACGGGTATATCATCTACTACCTTTCATCCGATTTGCAGGGATTATGCGCGTTTGTGTCTAGATGGTCCCATATCAATTTTATCAAATTCCATCCATCACTTCCGCTTGCGCACGCGTAAATGTATTTTTATAGATATGCCAATATTTTAAAAATGGATCCTTCGATTTGGATCAAAGTTGGATAAAATTTAGGTATTGATCAATAATGTAGTGTCAATTTTCTTGAATTCAGTCCACTACTTTCTGGTATATATACGCAAATGTATTTTCCTTGATACGTCTATGTCTCTGTATCCACACGTTCGATTAGACTCAAATGTTGAGAGAAGTTAGGGAATGGTTAACAGATAATCAAGTAAATATAAACTTTATCAAATTCTATCCACTACTCAAAAAAAAAATATACTTCCGCTTTCCGTTCACTAAATGTATTATTTTACACGCCTATAGTCTTAAAACGGCTCATTCAATTTGACTCAAACTAGGACGAGATTTGGAGAATAGTATAGAAATTGCATGGTATAAATTTCATTGAATTCCATTTAATCATTAAAATTATGGCTGTGAAATGTGGATGGCACTGATCATGTGTAATAGGGGTTAGGCTGATTTTTATGAGATTATAAACTTTAATAAGGTTTTATTCAAAAACTTAATTTATAATTCAATGTTTGGTCGATTCCAAACGTTACTGGCATGACAATTAATGCTGTTTCTTAGATTTCGTGTAAGTTTAAGTCCTATTTGTAATTGTATTTATTTCTATTGAAGTTCAACCAGCTCGTCGTGGTCGCGATTTCCTCCTTAAGCATCGAAGTTGTGTGAACTTCATTCATATTTTTATATTCCAGCTTAAATTGGTTTTGTTCTGACTAAAGACAAATATTGGTCTCATTAATTCCGAACGAACAAAACTTGAAATTTTTCCAATGGATTTTTGGATCCATCCATTTTACGAGTGAAAACATATCTATTAAGTATACATCGCAAGTGTTAGTGCTAAAAGTCGTATGTATAATTTTTCAATTTTTATACTTTTTGTACTAAAGGTATCATTTTGTAATCTGCAATTGATACAGGTAGTCTGCTACTATGGAAAATACGAAAATCCCATAGATGCCTCTCGATATACATGAATACCTCACGTGGAATAAATTTAAAAGAGAATTAAATTTTCTAAGTACCCCATGTAGACACGTTAATATGTTAAAAGATGAAGTTGCTGTAAAACCGTATGGAATCAAAGGTGTATTTAACTATTTTATAACATAACTAGAATCTATAAACAAATTACATATCTTTAATATACCGTGTAGGCATGAGAGACTTTTACATCCATAACGATTATAAAAAAAAGAAGAATCAAAGCCCGAGCGATTATCATGAATTTCTTCGAGAGTTGCATAGATTATGAGTTTTGTCAGTAAAAACCGTCGAAAATTAATATGACTTAAACAAATGAAATTAGCAAAACAGTCAAAATTCTCTAACTCCTCACCTGTTGTCCCTACACAACAATCTATGTGTAAAATTTATAGTAAATTTTATCTTCTTTAAATTTATATACAATAATAATTTATATAAAATACAAGTTTCGGAGACACGTCCAAAAACTAAAAAAAGTTCGGAATTTTCGATATTTGTTTGCATATATCTCGGAACGCAATGGAAAATTTCGTTCAGAAACATCAAATTGAGATTCAGCATACCAAAACACTCAAGAACCGAAGAGAAACTGACTATTTGAATTTTTTCCTCATCCAACTACCATCCAACTGGCCTAATTTGATGACTTGACGCCAGTTTTCAAAACAAAACCGATTACATCGTCAGTCAAGGTGAATTCTCTTTTAGGAATATATTCTTTACAACATATCACAATGTCAGTTCTTCCATTAAATGAATCGTCAAATTTCGCCTCTTTAAATTTGAATTGTGGTATAGAAAGCAACGGCTTTCGACTGATTGGCCGATGTGTGTTCAAATGAGGTTTATATAGATTGATTCTTTAAGTTCTATTAAATGTAATTACAAGAGCAATTATACTTCTACAGATAGGTTTTTAATATTTATTTCATAAGACATGGTTATGTTTTAACATTTTTTTTGGGGGGGGGGAGGAATGCTTCAGCCGGAAAGCCTTCCCCCCCCCCCAATAGATCAGATCCGCCTGTCCTGAAGATGATTCTTTCATTCCTCATAACAGTGGTTGGACTTTGATTTTGGATTTGGATTCTGATTTTGAAATCCTTTAGTTGCTAGGTTATGGTAGCTTGAATACTCTCCTATATATATATATATATATATATATATATATATATATATATATATATATATATATATATATATATATATATATATATATATTTTATAATAATTTTTTTTTATAAATGTACAATGATCAGACCCAAATATCAGCAATCACTACTACTCTTGGTACCAACTTTCACATCACAGTGTGATTACCATGGAGTTGCTCACAAAACATATTTTAAATTACTTCTAAAATATAACATTATTTATAAATATATACATATTCATTGAAACGTAAGTAATTTAAATTATTTTAAATCACCAAATACAGCATTAGTTTTAATCATAGATAAAACAAATTCATCGGTAATCACTGTTTATCTCTCACTTACTGATGTGAACACCTACTATACCATTTCAGTGTTACTCTTCATATAGTACTTCATCTATTTCTAAATTTCTTTTAGGATGCCTATCTGTCCACTATATCAAACAAATATGGACGCTCATGCAGTAGTTGATATTTCATCCCCCCCCCCTCGCCCAAAGAGAGGGAATGTCAGCCAAAGCTTTAGCCCTACTATTTACTATTATTTACATAATTTGTTTGTTACATACATTATATAGGACGAAGTTGGGTTTCAGTACTAAATTTAATGTGTGAAGGAGGACCGGGAAAATTTTTAGAACCCTTGATTTCTATCAACTCCAGCCTCATTCTTTAAGTCACAAACCATAAGTCAGCCCTCAAAATTAAATCTTAGATCCACTATTGTGTGAGTGTAGGGATTGTAAATTCAGAAACCCTCTGCCACAGTGTAATCGATATGATCTTGGCCTATTCACCATGCAGGAGTAAATTACAAAAAAATATGTTTGGTTTAATTCATCCACAGCAATCTTAGGTTAAAATCATCATTAATATTTGGATTATTACCAAGAGTGTTCTCTGGTATCCTAGCACCACAACTGTTATCTAAAACAATGCTTTAACAGAAAGTACTGCTTTCAAATAATTTCTAAATAACACAAACCATTTCATATTAAGTGATGTATGATAAAAATCATTAACCTATATAAATAAAATTATATCATACAGAGATCAATAAAAGTGAGAATCATGAGTTACCTATAAACGCCATATAAATGTAAAACAATTTTGCCTTGTTTTACTTAAAACGTTAAATTTTAAACAATACAAAATAACATAAACTAGGAAGGAAACATTTTTAGTTACAGCTGAAACTTATTCCAATATTTTCTATTAAACTTTATTTATTGAATAATAATACAATCAGCCACTTTTGGAGGGCTTTAAGTTAAGTATTAAGGCTAAAAGTTCTCATTCATACAATATATATAAATAATATAGCTAAACAAGTAAACAAATAATAATGATAGAAAAAAGTAAATAAATAAGAAAAAATAAACAAATAAAAACTTCTTCACACAATCATACCTATATAAAATATATACATTGGTGTAGGAATCTCCGAGCCATGCTTTTTCCTCCACATGTGGAAGGCAAGGGAGGACTCCAGGAGATCCCCGTGCCACTCTTCCAGTCTCATCACTAGTATTTATAGACTCTTAACTTTAATTTATCAATAAAATTTAGATTTTTTTTCTACATTATTTATTGCTTCTGATTCAATTAGATTATTTTCATTTTAATCACTTGACTAACATCAGCTATTAAACTTATGCATATTTGTTTCAATGATTTGAGTACTAAACAATCAAACACCTACTGCTTTTTACACATGATATTTTATTTAATCTATAAGCAAATTCTAAATATATCATGTCACAAAATAGTACTCGACTCTTAAGAAAAATTGTTATAAATTGAGAAGTAAATTCATTATATATTTATCTTTTTTTTTAAATTTAAAATAACCTGAAATAACTTCCAACCCATTAATCCCCAGAATGAATAAAACAAAACAATATTTCATAAAATTAGGAAGAATATGAATGACTAACAACAGTTATAGTAATCATTATTTTTTATTTTTTAAATGATATTATTTTTAACGATTCTCAGTTTCCGACTAGTTAGACTGAAATAAAAATTAGAAATGTGTAGTTAAGTGTAAATCCTTGGATTACATTTGATGGCAATGTTGCGAAAAATAAATATATTAAGAAATATAATTTGATTACCTGCTTGGGTCGCATTTGTAAACATCCACGTTGTTATAACAAATGGTAATGCACCAGAAAAACAACTTAATTCAAATAATGTTAAAAAAATAACCAATAACGATATCAAATTCATTTTAGCAAACTATTCTTAATAACTAGAGGTAAATAACTACTTTTAAAAGCTAAAATATTACAAAAACAAGATGATTATAATCAACAAAACTCAAAAACTTAGAACTGTTATCAGGAACTTAACACCTTTGAGCACTTGGAGGATAAGATAAACGCTAAAAGAATGACAAGGAAGGATATACAAATTAGTGGAACGATATCATGACAATATTTATTAAAATCTTTGCAATCAAATTGTCAACACATTGGAACTGTTGAACTTTCAGACAACTTAGAAAGCATAGAGGTGTGAGTGTGGGTTTTTATTCATCGTGAAGAGTAGGGGATGGGAATAACCGGACAGATTAACCGAAAACTGGTTATTTTGATAAACTAAATAACCGGGCAAAATAACCAGAAATATAGAGTGGAGCACAATAAAATTGTACAGTTGTACAGTTGCTCAACTATATTGAGCTGCTAAATCACCCACTATAATATACAATATATATATAATACAGATCAGTTTTAATGGATAACATTTAATAAGAGAACAAAAAGGATAAAGTATTACGGGACCATGATCCAAAGTTCCAGATGTTATAATTTACTCATTCATTGTTATAACTTTCAACTCATTTTCTTCCTTCTCACTTCTGACGGTTGAGTTAACAGCTAAGTATCCAGAATGAATACAGGAGATAGTGCAGGATTCCAAATGAGTAAAAAATTATAGATTCCGTCATACTCTGCAGATAGCTCCTTTCCACACCCATTTTTTCCAAAAAATCATAACTTGAAGATGGAATCGCTCCACTTCTTCGGAACCAAAGCCGTCGAAACGAAAATTCTTTCTCGCCAAATTTCTCTTGTAGGTACGGTGAGCATTTTTTATAGATTTCTTTTTTTCTTTTTGTATTTTGAGATCTTGATTCCCATCGTTTGTCTAAATCTAATAATAAGATCAACTATCAGCGCCTTTTTTCCTTTCACATTAAACTCTAAGATATCTACGAATCTCGCTGAGACTCCGTATCATATACTGCGAGGAAGCATCCATACTTTTTCGTATTCAGGAATTAAGCGATTCGGTGCTTTATATTATCATATGTGACAAGGGGTATGTTATTATTTGTCCAATATATGAGCTGGGGTTTCTGACTTTCAGCCAAAATTGCAACAGAGGTGTCCTTAAATAATCAAAAAAAATATCTATTAATAAAAATTGTAAATTTTTTTTTTCGATCAGCAAAACCACCAATCCTGCGTATCAAATTCTCGTTCCTCCTGTATCCTAGTGCTGATGCAGTAAAGGATTCAGGATTTAATTTTTCTTTTAGGGGAGGTAATTTTCTGTGCGGCCACTTTCAGTTTCTGACTCCCAACAGGTCTCTAGCGTCACCTGCCACACTATTTGTCGATCTCAATTTCGGTCTGCCAGCTATCTTCGTATAGTGTAATCACTCCTCAAGAACTCAACTGAATTTATTTAGTAAAGTATTCTTACGCCACTACAATTTAGTGGTAAGTCAATGTTTCCCGCAACATCAACTGCCAGTCCTCTTGGTTCGCTGGCTTCAAGTTCCTTACTGTCAAGCTAGACCGTGCATCCTCTGCCATTCCATCGGCCTACCGTAGTTTCGGCCTGCCAATTCTCCCCTTGCCGTGCAGCCTTTCTTCTAAAAGTCACTTTGAAACCTCATCATTCTTCATTCGAGCAACATGGCCTGTCCAAGGAAGCCTTCTAATCTTTAAGAATCTGAAGCCATTTGTATCATTATACATTATTTCTATCCCAGCATTAGTTCTTTGTAGCCAAACATTATCGCTGAACACAGCCCCAAAGATGCTTCTAAGGATTCACCTCTCGAATCTTAGGAGCATTAGTTCTTGAGCTCGAGAAATCGTCCAACATTCGGAAGCATCAGTCAGTATAGTTGCACTTTAGTGTTCCGTGAGAGACGTATACTTACAAAATGTTTTAGGAGCCCGAAATAGTATCTGTTTGCAGCCATTACTAATTTCTTCCTGCATATTATTCTCGGAGTTCAATCGAAAGCCTAAATAACTAAATTCGTTCAATTGTGAAGTCACCATTGTTTACGTGGGCGTCCTGCTGATCTAATGCTTGTGGACCTGCTCTCATATATTTAGTTTTTGACTAATGTATTGTTAGATTCCCTCTTTGTACAGCTTCCTGTAGAGCGATAAATGCCTCCTGCTATATATCTTAATGGCTAGATTTAAAATATATTCAAATATTTCATATAAACAAATAGAAAAAGAGTATAATAATTGCTAACGCATGTCCAGTGACCTGAAGGACCGTGCCTACCTAGACGACCTTAGCGACCCAGGGGCAATAAACACTAAAGGACAGACTCCGGCACAATCATAAGGCATGGTTACATAAGATAAACAAGTTGCCGACACAGAAAAAGGAAATAAAAAAAAAGCCCACAACAAAACAATTTTGAGAAAAATGAATCGGCCGCACATCTTTAAGCGTGGTCATCTCCTATACTACGAAAACTTCAGCCAATGGGAAGAAACTTGGAAAATAAAGGGAATAGCAAAGGTCTGAGGGTCCGACGAGGGGTCATTCGGGGAGAGACGGGTAATCTGGGGCCAGAGCAGATTGGAGAAGAGGGCCTGCCGAGTTTAGGCAAGGCGCTGGCAAGAAGGGCCCGAGTGAAGAGGAATTACAGGCTTACTCGGAGATGTTGGTCCAGAGAAAAAAGTCATCAGTGAAGCACACCAACAGCTGGCAGTAATCACAAATAAGTCAAAACATCCATTTAGATATACCTATGTAAACTTTTGTTGGCACTCAATAACAATAATAGAATCAATAACTTATTAATAACTTCAATCAGTCATATTCTTTTTAGCATTCTCCTAATATGATTCTCCAATAATGACTATACATGTGTTTTTGTTTTGTTTAAATTTATAAATAGATTAATTATTATTCAATCTTGACATTTAACAATATCCCTTGCATGCCACCATTTAGATTTAGATACAAATAGTAAATATTTAAATATGACATTTTTTGAAAAAAATATCCAAGATCCAATCAAATTATAGATAGATAGATAGAAAGTGAACTTTATTCTGGGACAAGATCCCTTATGAATAACAGATATGAACAAAAAAATAAAAACTACATCTGGCCAAAAATTACATTAATCAATATTAAAGAATATATACAGTATCTTCAGTGAAATTAAATTAAAACAAGTAAAAATAAAATAAAATTTTGAAAAAAAACGAAATAAAAAAAAAACATTATTTAAATGAAAATAAAAATAAAATAAAATAAGCATGGGTTGATTTTTAAAATTAAGACTCAACAAATTTTATCAACCATTCACCTCAGTCAAAATCTGTTTCACAATATTTATTTTATTGTATAACGTCATTTTGGGATGTGAGAAGGAATTGGTAGAGATGATATTTAAATGAGGACAAGGAAGAGGCATGGCGGATTTCAGATGGCAAGGAATTCCAGAAGGCTGTGGATCGGGAAATAAAGGAATATTTAAATGTCTTAGTTCTATGGGAAGGGATATAAAGGTCGGAAACACGGGATCTTGTTTTCTGGGAGTGGACCACGGGTTTAAACTGTAGGAGACTGCAGATGTAAGAAGGATGTCTGGTGTTGATTGTTTGGAATAGGAAAGATCCGAGGAAATATTGTCTGCGGAAAGAAGGGAAGAGCCACTTTAACTCGTCGTAAAGGTGGGACACATGAGATCGCCTTGATGTACCGAAGACAAATCTTAAGCACGTATTCATGAGTCGCTTTAATCTATCCTCGAGTACCATCGGGATGCCTCCGCACATCACACAGCCATAGTCGAAATGGGGGAAAATGAGAGAGGATACAAGGAGCTTGCGGATGGGTTGTAGGAGTAGGTGGCGGGAGCGCTGAAATAGCTTAAGGGTACCTATTGACTTACGGGAGATGAGGGTGATATGGGGTTTCCAGGAGAGGTTTTCGTCTATGGTGATTCCTAGGTTTTAAACGGATGAACTGAATGTGACAGGATGATCGTTGATGACTAAAGGAGGAAGGAAGGAGATGGATTTATGAATAGGACTGGAACCTATAATAATGGCCTGAGTTTTCATCACATTTAGATTTAAATTATTCAGACTTGCCCAGGCATTGATCCTATCTAGGTCTGCCTGAATATTGGCGAACGCGACTAGTAGCTCAGAAGGATGAAAGGAAAAATATATTTGGATGTCATCAGCGTATAAATGATGTGAACAGTGGTAGATGGATTTGGAAAGATCATTTATGTAGGAATTGAAAAGGAGAGGGGAAATGCTCGAACCCTGGGCCACTCCAGAGGACAGTGTAAGAAAGGAAGATAGGAGTTGGTTTGGAATGCTGACTGCTTGAGTTCTGTCGGATAGGAAAGACTGCAACCAGAGGATAGAGCTGTTGGAGAAGGATAGAAATTTTAATTTAGTATAGAGTATAGAGTGGTCTAAGGAGTCAAAAGCTTTGGAAAAGTCGAGAAGTATTAACATAGTTAACATTTTTTCGTCCATTGCGGTATGTAAGTCATTGGTAATTTTTAGTAGGGCGGATTGTGTGGAGAAGCCAGGTCGGAAACCAGATTGGAGAAGATCGAGTAGTTTTGAGTTTTCAAGGAATTTAGAGATTCTGGATTGAGCTATTCTTTCCAGAGGTTTAGAAAGGTTAGAAAGAATGGAGATTGGGCGGTAGTCTTTAGGATAGGTAGGATTGGGAATTTTGTTGATAGGTCTGACTAATGCTTTTTTCCAAGCAGTTGGAAAAACTGAGTTCTGGAGGGAAAAATTATAGATGAAAAGGAGAACTGGAACGACTTCGGGAAGGCATAATTTTAACAGTTTGACTGGTATCCCATCAAGTCCGATGGAGTTTGTGTGTGATTTCATTATAGAGGAAATAAGGTGGGTCGGTGAAATGTTGGAGAAATAGAAATTATCACTGTTAAATGAGGGTGATAAGGAAAACTGGTGAGAGTTGGATGAACTGTTGCTGGTGGTGGAAGATATAAAGTAGGAATTTAGTTCATCGGGTGATAACGGGTAGAACGGTGAGGAAGAGGATTTACAAAGAGAGAGTTTACGAAGGGTTAGCCATATTGATTTAGAATCAGGAGTAGAAAAGAAAGTTTCGTGAAAGAAGTTTGATTTCGCTTTCCTGATCGTTGTTTGTGTCAAGTTACGGAGTACCCTATAGACTTGATAGTCATCTGCTAGTCGAGTTCGTCTGAAGCGTCTACGGGC